CGACGGGAGTTTGTTGAAAAACAACAGCAGCGCAGTCTGTCACGAGCCGCCGCCGCGAGCAGACGTGACCTAAACGTTTCTTTTCAATATTGTTAAGACGAGAGAGGATATTCGTGAGTCTGTACATATTGGAAGTAAAGCGGAGTTCTTCTTTTCCTCTAATCCTGTGTCAGTTGATTTCGCGGGCCCGGTACGCGCGAGACGGACACGCGCAACATTTATACTATATTATAATTATAATTATATTATATATTATAATAATATATTATAATTATATTATATATAATTCACACAAACTTGTCCGTCCCGAGGTAAATTAGTTAAATCTATTGACCTCAAAAGGGACAAACACATAAAGACTCACAATCGCGACGTGACAACGGATCTCTTTGGAATTTATTCAGGATCAAGCTCATCCATTGGTGCCGATGATCGGTTGGAGATTCAGGTCTCTAGAGAATTTTCAACCAAAAAATGTCATCTGGCCCCACTGTGCGGCGCGCGGCTCGACGCGATTAACGATCGCGCTCGAGGAGCCGCGCTCGAGGTGTCCGACGTCGCCGACGTAAACCGCAGCCCGAGCGGGAATGCTGTTTATACGAAGTCTTAATGGCTATTTTGTCTTCTCTTCTGCGACATCGTCGTCGTCCTAGTCGTCTCGAAATACAAACCCGTGTTGCGCGAAACGCAGCGGGCTCTCGAGTGCCTAAATCCTCGCTTGTGTCAACATGTCTCCGGTAACTCGCGCCGCTAAAATAATTCTCAGCCGAGCGCGGTACGCGGCTCGTCGCCGCTTGGCTTCCGCAACGTATCAGCATTCTCGCGGATTACAAAAGAGACATCATCGACGTCGCGAGCGGCGCGAGCCGAGCCGAGCCGAGCCGCGTCGCGTCGCGTCGCGTCCGTATCGCTCGCGGCGCTTCGCGAGAGCGAGAGCGCCGATTTAATCCGCGCGCGCCTCCGCCTTTCCGGAAATCCGTTTAATCCAGAAATCACGTTAATTTATTATTATCGTTATAGTCGAGCGCCGTCGAGCTAAATACGCAGTTTATGCCGACGTCGATGTACACACGCGCGCTCTGTTTGGACGACAAATATTCTCGCGTTCGACCGTTCATAAATGTCTCGTGAAAATTAACGGGAATCCCGCTACAATAACGCCCCTGATACGTAGGCGATTCATTATTGACTAATCTAGTTTCAATATTCTAATCTAATGCAATATTTCAGACCGTAAATTCAGCTGGATGCGAAGAGGGAGGGCCGCCCTTTTATCGGCCGCGAGGAATCCTGATCAAACGCGTGCCCACAAGTCTGTCGTCACAAGGCATCAAATTTCACTCCGAGTCCTAGGTAAGATTAGTTCTCCAATCAAGAATATTCAATTAAAACAGGTATGTTAAAATAAAGCAAAAATTCGGTTTACTCTCATGTATGGAGTACAAGTTTTATAATATTCTTCGAAAAAGAATAAAAGAATTCTCGAGAGGATGTAAATTCTTCTTCCGAGAGCACAATACTGAGCTTCCCGAAAATTTGCGATGAGTATATTTTAAGAGATTATTACGACGAAGAGATTCCTCGTCCAAGATAGATCCGTTGCTTGGAAGAGGAAAAGAACAGACTGAGCAAAACCGTTCTCCTTCGCAGCAGAATGCGATATTTCTCCGTGTAACTTTACGATTCCGTGCTTGTTGACTCGTATAGTGAAAAAGAGGGAAAATCACACGTGATGTCGTTTACCGTATCGCGGCATTGGTTTCGTGTATTCTCGATCGGTTGAACGCGAATCGCGATCCGTCCGTTCGCAATTTTCACACCGTCTGACTTTACATCTATCGCGATCACTTCGGCGCGGCGCAGCCGGCAGCCTGACGAGGCGTTGCTTTATCTACTGATCGGCTGTACGTATCAACCGGGAAGTAGATACCGCTGGGAGACGGCCAGACACTCTCGCGGCCGTAACGACTTATGCGAACGGAGTGCCGCGTAAAATGCAGCACTCCGCGTGCTTCGCCTGCGGAACGAGTCCGTTATCATAAAAAGAAACGCGAGGAAGAGCTAAATCCGCATGGCCGCTGTGAAGAGGTCGATCGTACTTATCGGCGTTCGCGCTTAATTTGAATCGCGTGTTGGCCAGTCGTACTCCAGAGCGAAGCTAATTAAATATCTCACGGGTTCACGGCGGAGAATATCGATGAATGTGCCGGCTGAAGCCGGCTGGCGAATCGCGAAAACTACACGAACAAACGCGAACGATTTTGCCATTGACTTATATATACATACACTGAACGCTCCACAAGAGCGCTCCTGCGACGCGACCTCACCTGCAGAGAATGACCGCTACCATTTGATTGATTTTTGCCTAGCCCGGTTGTTATCGGAGAAAGCTAGACGAAGAGAGATGGCATGCTTGTGAACAATGAATCTGTCCTTTGTATCTGGAAACCTTTCGGAGGCGCGGTTTATAAACTGGGTTGAGTGATTTCGAATTTCTCAGGTGAAATGAAACGGCAAAAATGTCGCATTTTTTATACGTCGTTGTAATTTCAGGAAACAATGCGCGCTATTGTGTAAAATTTCTTACCGCCGTTTTGCATACAAAATTATAACGACATGCAGATATCAAGTGAATGCAAGAATCTTGATGGATCGTGATAGCAAAATGGACCGATGAAGCAATTTTATCAAGAACGAATTATTCATTCTACCGAGCAATCGTCATTGTTTTCTATTATCCTTGGTACATAACTGTAAGCGCTGCCGTAAAACTGAATCAGTCACGAGACGGATTTGAGTCAAAATTTTCCGTCAAAATTTTCGCACTCGTTACTCGTCTCATTTCGCGTGAAAAATCCGAAGTCGCTCGTCACGCACAACCTGCAGCCGAATGACGAGTCGCCGCGTTTCTCCGATTCTGTTTATCTATGAAGCACCAAGCGAAGGAAGTGCGGCCGAGTTAGGCCGCACATAAGCAAGCGGTGTCTCACCCACAACAGCCGTCACGCCGCTGCCTTTCCGCAAACTAACTATCATCACTTGTGATAACTTCGCGCGCGAACTAGAGTGGGACGAGTTCGGGGAGGATGGCGTGGGTAATCCGATAAGATGTTCCTGGCGGACGTGCTCCAGCCTGTGTCAAGTCGCCTCGGGAACCTGCGCTCGAACATTCATCCCCCGAAGCACGAAACTCCTATGAATACGCCGTCGAAGACAACGTATGGCGAGATGACCAAGACCGTCGCGAGTCCTTCAAACGCGGGGACCCGTCATTCTCATACTTTTCGCGCGATAAAGCGGAAAATATCTGTCTCGATGTCGGCCGTCGCCGACATAATCACCGACGCGACGTTAAAACCGAATTAAAGAAAGAGACAAGACCTCGATGAACATCTCTCGCGCGTTGGTATTTTGGGAGCGCGAGAGAAAGCGACGCGGAAAAGAATTAGCGTGATCGGGAAGTGCATGATACTTCAAGTAAATGCTATTTGTTTCAAGTATTTCAACAGTTTATACATCAGCAGATCAACAAATCAAATTGATTCAAAATTGATTACATTTTAGGCTCGTCTTCGTCTCGAGTTTGGCACTTCGACTAAAGATATTCAACTCAAACGAAAATATTAAATTAAGATAAAAATTTGCTTCGCCCTTTTCTTCCATGAGAAAATATAAGTTTTGCAATATTCTTGAAAAGGGAAGAAATTCTTGAACTTCCCAGATCGTGTGATGAGAATATTCGGAGACTATTACCAAGAAAATGTTCTTCGTTGAAGATAACTATTCTTGAAAGGCGGAGGATAAGGTGAATAATCGCTATCCTCGGCGAGAGAATATTTTTAAAACGGCGAAGCGGTGAAATCCTCGCTCGCGCGCGAACGAGGATTTCATCGCTTCGCCGTTTTAATTATTACCGTGTCAGAGGCATATATTACGTACGACGTCTCCATCGATCGTCCGACTTCGGGATTTAAAACGAAAATTAACAAATGAGGATGAATCTCCGCGCTCCGCGAGACAGCGAAAGCGCGCGATATGATCTCGCACGCACGCTTCAAACAAGATCAACACGACGTGGATACGAGCGAAGACGAAGACGAGAAGGGAAGACAGTCGGGCAAAAGACGTCGACGACCACGACGATGAATATATCCCGTTAGTCGTCCCGACCCACGTCACACGTCGAAGATCTGTCGAAGCTTTCGGGAGCTTTCGAAACTCGTCGTTCTGCGCGGATAGTGATCTTCCCTATCACGTATCAGGCATCTCTCCGTCCAACTTGTTTTCGACCGGTTAAGAGGAGGAACCGCGGGAGGATTGAAAAGTGCCCGTGCGAGCGATACGAGAGAACTGCGAGAGAAGTCAGCCGCCAAAAGTGGAACAGCCCGTTATACGTATTAGCCCTCGTCCCTCCAATATAGATTAAAGCAGACTTTCGGGAAAATTCAGGAATAACGGATTGATTACGCAGGAGCGGCCCGCGCGGAACACGCGTACTTACCGACTCCGTGTGCAAAAGTGAGAATTCAAAAGCTTGCCGAATCGCGCGCTTCACCTTTCGTCCGACTTGAACCCTTTAAGTGCTGAGGAGAGCGACTGCGCTCTTCGCCGAGTGCCATCAGTGAGTCGCGTCAGTGATTGTTGGCAAGTTACGCAACACATAATAATCCCCTCTCCTCTCATTTTCGCAGTAAATTCTGACTTTCTTCTTCACTTGCCTTCTCAATTCATTCTCACTTAGTCTTGGTGAATAATATATGATACGATTCTTATAACGTTCATTATCAAGTTTGCTATTAATCGAGATTAATTGACATTTTGAAAGAAACGACGTGACACTTTCACAAAAATCCTTCTCAGCAGGACCATCAGGAAACAAGATCAGGCATCAAGAATTAACAGATGGCGTGACCGCCGCGGTTTCGCGGGCAATCGCGAGGGACTTGAAGAGTGAAGGGGGGGAAGTTTCCACGACTCATTCTTTTCGCGAAAGTGCTTACCGGATAACGCCTCGTCGCTGCAAGACGTGGCGAACTCCATGCGATCGGGCGTCCTGCAGCCGATGTCCAATCTACGTACGCTGCCGTGATGGCACTGCCTCGGGAACGGCGTGGAAGGCATTCGGACGTCGTGCACCTCCGCCGCGTTGGCAACGTTCTGCTCGCCGTCGACGGCCAATATATCCTCGACGTTGTCGGCATTCGGCGGCCGGAACAGCGACACGATCTCGTAGCGGCCGAGATTGGGGCACTGCCGGGTCATCGGGTCGGATGCTGAAAATATGCGACGGCCGTTCGCTCATTTGTGTGTTTCACAGTGCCGTTGACGCGACGCCGCGCGCGTCCGCGGGCTTCTCTTACCTTGATTATACCGGGAAACGAATTCTCGACATTCAATCGCGCGCGCGTGCGCGCGCCAGGGAAGGCAAATAAAAGATCACGGGCGGGGGAGAAGGGGCTGCCGCGTCGGCGCTCCATTGAATTACCTCACGTGTAAATAGCGGCCATTAAAGTTTCATGTGATCTCCCGACGGCAAACAGAAGATCGTGCTTACATTGCAGTGTAACTTTTAGCCGAGCAATTTGATACGCGATCGACACGCAGTCGACGTGCTCCGCACGCCAAGGTAAACGCGTTCCACTTCGTTTCCTTCGCTCCACCGCCGCCGCCGCCGTCTCCGCCTCGTCGTCTCGCCGCCTCGTTGTCGTGTAGGAAATTAACGCAACACGATCCGCGTCGCGAGGTGAGAGAGACCCTTGTCGTTGCAGAGACGACGGCAGAGGCGACGGCAAGTCGGCCGCCGCCGATCGTCCATTCATCGAGTTCGACGTGAAAGAATTCACGCCTCCTTATCGCGGCTTTATATTTGCCACTTGAGCCGTGGCGCGAGACTAAAAGCTCCGATACCGATCGGCAGCTTACTTTGCAACGGCGCTTCCCAGCCGGCTGCTCGCGACAGCTTCGTCTTCGGCCGCTCGACGCCAACGAACGTGTCACGTTTACATGTTACGTTGCTCCTCAATTCATCGCGGAATAGTTCAATGATCGTTGACGCGTGTAAGGTATACGTCCTAATGGCCGGACACGTCTCAGTATCCGACCACTTTGAAGAAACATATTTACTATTTATTTTAACAACATGATGAACGAAACTAAAACATTATTATAAAAAAAGAAAAACTCCAATATTTGACGATTAGTTGGAGAAAAATATAGCCAATTTGATACTTTTGTATTAAAATAAAAATTAATTAAATAAGTATGTAATACCATAATACCTATGGCTTGGCAAAATAATGGCCAAACGTTAATAAATTCATTAAGAGATAACATCTATATTTATATTATTTCCCATTAGTACACACTCATTTTCTAATTGCGGTCAGACACTGGGACAAGTTACATGCAATGTATATCCGAACATTGGGCCATAATCTATCTCAACTGTCCGGTTACTGGTACATTAATGCGCTTCATTACTTGTGTAAATATTTCATTAATAATATATATATATATTGATTAAAATCATTTTTCCAGCCAACACGTTGCACACTCGAGATAAATCACGAAGCTGAGACTCGGTTTATAATTTGATGGAATTCGGGACGCGAGCGTGAAAAGTGGAGCGTGTTCTAGATTAGAGATTTATAGACACATGAAGAATGATTCCAAGACTACCTTCCCGCGAAATCCCGTCCGCACCAAGTCGCTAGAATCGCGTCTCGAATTCGGCTGCGAATTCATAAGTAATTCGGGCCGAAGTCGCGAATTACTCGAGACACGCAGTCGAAGACGGACGAAACGAGAAACGAGAAACGTTGGTTCGCGACGCGACAAGAATCGCAGTCACAATCGCATGCGGAAAAAGGTAAGGAGACGCTGCTTTACACGCTGTCACTCTCAGCCGAGCGATCCGCGCCGCTATAACGCGGTAACACGTGCGTGTATCCACCGAGAGTGCGACGCACAAAAGAGAAGACGAGTGCGAATGGCGGCGCGATAAATTCCGCACCGGCGCGGCGCGGCGCGGCGAAACGACTCTGCTCCTCGTCAATGTTACAGAATCGGCTAAGGAGAAACTGAAAGGCGAGCCGGCAGGAGAGTGAGACGGAGAGAGGAGACAGAGGGGAGAGGGTGTTGGGAAAGAGAGAGAGCGAGAGGAGAGACTTTACGACGGATCCGGCATATGATCCTTTATGCGCTCGTAAAGCTGTGCTTCGCGAATTGATTGTTAAACTCAGCCATTTGCAAACTTCTCGCCGCGACTATGCACGCGCTCGCGCGCCTTTCGCGAGGTACATGGGCACTTTTGTCGCGGAGCACATACGGCGGCTGTCTCGGGCACATACCTCGGAGCGTACAGCTCCTTGGGCCAATTTAGAGTGTATTTATCCTTCCAATGTCGCGAGGAGCTAGCACTTCCGTCGGTGATAAAAATGGCTAACGGATGCGCTCTCACGGCGCATTTGTCTCCGAAGCTCGCCTCCGCCTCGGAGGAATTTTAATTTGAGGTCTAATAGCGCGAGAGAAGAGAAGAGAGAGAGAGAGAGAGAGAGAGAGAGAGAGGTAAAGTAAATGTCCCGAGTGCTGATCGAGTGACCCCATCGTGAAAATAAATAAATTAATTAATAACACGCGTATTAATCTAAGCGCGCACAAAGTGGATTCTGTTCGAAAGCTTTTGAACGTTCGGGTTTTCATATCTCTTTCAATTATCCTTTAATTTTCGCAAAGATTTTAATCGATTTATTTTCTCGGAAATTATTAAAGCAGCATATACAACGACCTGACGATATGATTTTGCTTCTTCGTGAGCAATTTAGTTCCCGAGAAATTAAAGGGTATTTGAAAGATCCAACAAACAGACATCTGATGCAAGCTGTCAACTTTCAAGATGTCGGCGAAGTAAAGATTTGAAGTAAATATTTAGCCTGCGCGCTTGTAATGATGACGTTGCAGCATTTAGCATTTACGTTTGTAATTTTACCTGAGAAATTTAATCATAACCGATAATATAGAAAATTTAGAACACACGGAGGAAATAGCGACCCGTGTCGGCTGATTTATCATCATCGCTAGTTGGACATTCGCCTTACACACGCGTGTACTTCAGATCGGACGTGGGGAAGCCGGCGGAACTCGGGTCGGACTTCCTTTCGTAACGGAAGGATCGGCTCCAAATTGATCGAGGAATCCACGGACGGGGCAAAGCACGCGCTAGTGCTCTCCGTGTGTGTGTGTGTGTGTGTACGCGCACGTTTGCGCGAAAACACGTGCTGAATGCGTGTGTCAGAGCACGACGAGAGGAGACTCGATAAGGTCGGGACAAATCACGGGCACGAGTATGGGTGCATGTCTGCTGCCGTGCCTCCGTCCTCTCCTTTCTCTCGCTCTCTGTGTGCAGCACGTGCATGTGCGCGGCCGCCGAGGCGGCGTGCTTCATCCCAAGCCGTCGTCGGACGGTCCACGATCGATGCCCGGAATTGGCTTTAGAAGCTAAACAAGGCGCTCTTTCGTTAGACCGCGAATCACGTTTTATTCGAAACTTGAAGCGGAGCGCCGAGTTGAGTAAGCAGGGAGAGGAAGGGGGTACAGTGGAGTAGAGTTTATTGAGACCCTGGGATTCAAAACCCCTTAGAGTTTACAGTAATTCGGATACGCTGGAGTGGCGAGTCGCACGCAATGAAGTTAGAAATTATTCGAGCATTCGAAGTGGCCGATCTAACGCACCGAGCGGCAAGAGAAACGCCTGGTGAGTGTTTGATCGACCAAACTCGGTGGTCGCATTCGAGTATGAGAAGCGGGCTTGCGGATAATAAAATAAAACAGAAAGGAACAGTCGGTCGCACAACGAAGACAACAACAGTTCGCTCGGCTCCAGACACGGTGAGATCAATTAGAACCTGAAGACTATACAAGTGTGGCGCAGCTGATGCTGAAGTGATGATGAAAAAGAGAATAAGGAGGAAATTTCGCGAGAACCACCATAGCGTATACTCTTGCTGGCGGTGTAATGTAATGTAATCTCGCTTAATGGCGCTGAGAGCTGGCCGCTGAACGCGCTGCTGCGCGATCCGCGCGGCCACGCTCGATAAATCCTCGCCGACAAATCCCCAAACCCTTCTCCACGTCAGACGGCGCGTGAAAACGCGCGCCTCTGCAGCTCTCCGCGGCGAGTCTCGTCCGAAAATCCGCGCCCGACGCGCCCCTGATCGTTCGGATATTAAGAGATACATTCTCCTTCCGCTGCGTGGCGCTTGAAAATGAGGACTTCGCGAGGGCATCGTGAGGCGATTATCGGCTGGCCGGACCGCCCGCGGAGATCTCTCCATTCGCTTATACCTCCTGTCAGGGTAACTCGATAAGATCGAAGCAAACCAGGGGACGCGGCCAATGAATCGGAAGAAAAACGGAGGGGTCCATCGGGGCCGAATTGGCAGTTGCGGAGCGCCGGGGACGCCGAGGCGAGCCCGGAAATCACCTTCGGGCGAACCGTTCGTTTCTGATTCCGGTTTCCGGCCGCGGCCGGCGCGGCCGAATTTCCACCTTCCAATCCACTTAATCTCCCGCCGGCTCACCGCCCGAGAGAGGGAAGGGGAAAAAACGACCGTGCTATTTCGCGATCGCGGGAAATAAATGCATCCGTCGTCGTCGAGCCGGAGAGAGGCCTCGCGGAGTGTTCGCGAGCACACGTTTTAAGACTCCATTATGTTGGATCGCGATATTCAATGTGTGACGACGATCGCAATGTCATAACGCAAACCCGCTTGTCCGCTTGAAACAGCAGTCGAAGCAGTGCGAAGCTTATTTCTTCTTTTATATCACTCGGTCTTCTAAATCGGCTGCCGTAATCAGGTAAATTCGTGTCGTGAGTTTGTGATGTCGCCGCGCATCGACGAGATGAGAGCAAAGACAGCCAGCTTCGTGGTTTGCTTCGTCGCTGTTTGAGGGGAAGTTACATGCGGAGCAGGCCGTTTTCAAGGATATTCTTACGAATTTTTTTAACAGAAACGATAGGACCAATGGACTTGAAATTTTCAGTGTGTTCATTAATGTTCAAAGTATAAAATAAATTTGTTACTATCTGGAAAGTATACATAATACTTTAAACGCGTTTATCTGGAAACACCACTTTCTTAAACTGTCGACACGATTACGCAAAAACTACCGAACCGAATAACTTGAAATTTTTACACAATATGCAGTAGACACGTTGGTTTTGTACCTATCTCGAACACAATTATATTCTATTTTATTAACTTTTTTTAAACATGATTACAAGTTTCATTGAAAAAAGTTTCATTTTCGATACTTTTTTTTTGTACAGTCATTATTTCTCCAAATTTGGCTTCACTGCCTTCATTTTGGTACGGGCTACAATGGCAACCATATATTTTTGAAATCTTTCTCATTTTTTGATTTCAGAGTAGTGGTGAGAAGCCCGGAATTATGTCGTCAGCAAACACAGAGCTCGCAAACGGATGATTGCATTTTTATCTATAATTACAAATTAGATCGGTTCTTGTGATTCAACGAAATTTATTTTATACTTTGAACATTAATGAATACACTGTGAAACATTCAAATCCATTGATCCCACCGTTTCTGTTAAAAAAAAATTCACAAAAATAGCCTCGAAAACGGCCTTTCGCAGTTCCCTCCTTTCACAATTTCCTGCTTGGACGGTGACACTTTTTGAAAATCAGCGTGGCTGACACGACGACGGATGCAGCCTCGCGGAGATTTTCAACATTGCGCATGAAGCGATGAAGAGTAAAAATGACTGTAAAGTTGTAAAATCTACGGCGCTTTATTACACACAGACACGCACCGAACACGTCCAAATATTCATGACAAAGACGCGTCATCTGGACGAGAAACTGGCTCGCTGCGGCGCGCGAAAGAAACCGCGAGTTTGCTCGGCCGCGTGCCACCGCTGCCGCGCGATATCGGCGAATTAATTCGCCCGATTAATTACGGCCGCCATGCCGACAAAGCAAAAACGCATTAACCGGTCGCGCTACGCGGCCGTTTGTAATTGCATTAATCGAAACTGCAGTGACAAACATATAACACGATCTGTCGGGCGGGCGCTGCCGAGCGTAATCGAATTTGCGTATATTACGCTCTCTCTCTCTCTCTCTCTCTCGCGCTGCCGAAAGTTGACACCGTGCGCATTAAAGAGCAATTAGTTGCGACTCGGGCCGCGGGCAAACAACTCGCGCGTCGTGCGATATGTCGCAACGGCGGCACAATGGCCGTTCACTCGATTACGAAAGGAGAAAGTTTACTTACTGATGAACGTCGTGTACGGCATCGAGTGCGAGTTGAACGTGCTCGAGTTGCATATATCGTCAGACTGCTGGCCCCATTCCGAGAGTTGCATCTCTATCACGTGCTCGTCCCTCCTGTGGAACATGATGCACACGTATCCGTTCTTGCTGAAAAGGGATGCACACCAAAAAGCGTTACGTATCGGTGAGAACATGACGGCCGAGGGCGAGAGGGAGAGAGGGGACAGGGCATTGTGCGCGAGAGCCGTACTTTTCAAGTCGGAGGCTCGCTCTCCCGCGGACTTGTCGGCCCCGCCGCGCGAGGAGGTGGATCTTCGAAGTCGCGCCGACCATCTCGAGCGAACTTCGAAGGCGCTCGCGTCGCTCGTTCGCGCAGTGATTAAAGCGCGATCCCCGCCGATGAACTCGGCTACTTCCCCACGCGGATTGCCGATGCGTTCGGAAGCGGCTCGCGCGGTCTCAGGTGGAAGCTCGTCGCTTTTTTCGCTTTCTTTCTTTCTTTCTTTGTCTGTTCTTCTCTCTGAGCAGCAGCAGCAGCAGATTAGGAACAACCGCGAGACCGAAAACACCCCCCGAGGCTGCTCTCTCAAAGAGAATCGCTAAAAGTGTTTCTGCGATTGGATCTCGGGAGAAGGAGCGTAGCAGAGATAGAATAATCGGTGAAGAACTCTGCGGAGCAAGCGTGGAATTTTTGTACGGCGACGGTTTAAAAGTGATAGACATTTCTCACCGAGTGTGTTTCTTGCCGTTTTCAGACACGTTCCGATGTATGTCACACTCGATGGAATTAGCGGTCTCGATGCGACGCCGACCCTGTCGGCGCTTGCAAGCTGCGTCGGTAATTCGAAAAGTCGCGGCTATCAACAGAACTGTTCAGCGAGATATCGCTAATTACAGTGCTTATGCTTATAATTAATCAACAAAATTATAGGTTGCACTGATTATAGGGTAAAATTGGATTCTGACGTCTGAGCGGCGACTAGACGGGAGTCGATCCTCCGTCAAAATATTCTTCGATACTTTTGTTGGGAATATTCTTCGCTCCAGCCGAGAGTCACGTCTCGTTCATCTCCATTGGAAGAAAATTTGACGGAGGATTGACGGACTTGCAGGAGGAAGAACAACTGCATTAATACATTTTTTATTTTCGGACAAACACTCATTTTTGTAAAAACGGAAAGATTCCTATATAAGGTTTTTACCGAGTCAATCTTGTTCTCACAGTTGCCTCAGTCAGGTTTTAACGCAACCGAATGTTCGGATGTGTCCGGTCGCGACAACAGAGACGTCATTTCTCGTCACCGAGTTTTCGTTTGGTTTCTACTCGGTATAAATAATGTGCGCGAAGCAAGAATTTTCTGCGTCGAGTGCCGAACCGTTGAGATTTAACTTTCAGATGAGCAACATAACGCGACAATTTGGCTCACAGAAGCCCACAGTCTCGCCTTTAGATATTGTTGCGAATTATTTTCAACTACGGAAGAATAACAATGTGCGCACGTACGACGACAACGTGCCGAGGAATTTTTTTCGGATTCGCAACGTGCGCGGCTTCTGCCCGCCACGTCAAACTACCTCGAGTTGCAATTATTAATATCAGGACTCCATCATCCCTTGCTAATTATTCAATTTTGCGTTGACTCGAGTATCGCGAAAAATATTGTCTCAGCTAAAAACCGACCCTGAATCTGCCCCTCACTCGCGTCGAGTCTGAAATATATTTAAATATCCGCAAAACTTCGAACAGTTTAGAATTCGAGCGGTACGGATCCGGATTCTCGAGTCGAGTCGAATCGAATCAGGTAAGATTCGATTCGATTCGACACGAATTCGAATAGTTCTTACAGCTCTACCTACCGTTCAGTTACACGAGCCGAGATTCTCCTGCGTGCGCGCGGAAAAGACAAATCCGTAAGTGTACGCGACTTTTCTAGCTCTCGGGGAGAAGTCGCTTGTAGGAACGGAAAAAGATTCCCTGTACAAAGTTCCCGCTCAGTCAATTGCTCTCCCACAGTCACCTCGACCGAGTTTTAACGCAGCCGAATGTTCGGACGAATGTTTTCGGCCGCGATGACAGAAACGTCACTTCTCGTCGCCGATCTCAGCTCCAGTTCCACGTCCAGCCGGGTTATTTTTCTCTGTACGCCTGCGCCGTCGTCCGGGCAGTGAAATTTCAGCCTGAGACGATCGCCATAGTGATGAGAGAAAGATCTCTCGCGGCAGCGACGATATCGCATCGCCGTTATTCGGCGGTCCGTCCCTCCGCCGTCATAAAAGCACGAGGAGGTCCGCCGCGGACAGATAAAAATTTGGGTCTGAAAGGATTAAGCGCGCCTGATACGCTTAATAGTCGGTCCGGTGAACCGTTAAGGCTGATCTCGAGAAAATGGGAGGACGACGAGCGGCCCTTTCTCGCCCCGAAACGTCGGCCGGAAAGGGCGGAGGGAAGAGGAGGACCCTAAATCTCGTGAGGGCGGACGGCGCGGGATTAAGATTTTATTTTATCAGGACGTTTCCTAACGACCGAGCATTAAGTTTAACGCAATTCTTTTACGACGGCCGCCTCTTTACGGCGGGATCCGAAAAGTCGGCGGCGCGCGCGCGCGCGCACGCGCTCGCGTTTCAGGCTCGCGCGCGCCGCGCGTATAAGCTCATATCTGTACGCGAGCCTGGCTCGCGATATGTGTTTACATTGTAGCGCTCCGCGGAGCACCGGCGTCGTAAGCCGTTGCACGAACCGGAAACGACGATCTCGACATATATTTGTCTTACGAGTTCTCCCCGCTCGTGAAGAGAGGGATATAAAGTTTATATTACTTCTCGATAAAGCCCGCCTGCGCTCGCGAAACTAGTTTCCGCGATCGCGCGCGGTATCTCGCTCGAGCCGCTCGTCGTGGACGAGTTTTTCTCTTCTTTCCGTCTCTGTGTGTATGTGTGTGTGTGTGTGTTTCTTTTCTCTCACGTAGATTCAGCTTAATTGGACTCGTCGCGAGCGTCGGCGAGCAGAAGACGACGCGAGCGAGGGCGGTGCGAGTCGAGTGGAGTCGCGAGTGGAGAGACGCGTGACCGTCGATCTCTCTCGACGTCGCTCGCGAGATCGCCCACTCGGCAGAATGCATAACCGATTCGCGAGCCGCAGACTCGGTCGCGTCATCGTCGCGTCGCCGGTTATTCGTAGCCGTGCTTAAGACGCGGCTTTTATGAACTACATCTCTCGGCCGGCGGATCATAAATACGGGATGTATAATCGTAAAAATTCTCACCGCGCGGAGACTTCATCCGCGCGCGAGCGCTCCTTTATTGCCGCGGTAACGATTTCTCCGTGCTCGTTAAAGTCGCCACATCGTGCGCGCGCGCCAAGATACGCGTGTACGACGTGCTCCCGCGATTTCGTTCCCGTGAATGCTCGGTGCAACCGAGTGCACCGGTTACCACCGCACCACGGAAGAGACAGCTCTCGCGACTGCATCGCGACCGTGAGATGCGCTAATTCATGGGCGAATTCGCGACCGCGCGACCATTCCGCAGACGCGTCGCGGCGGGAATTTGTGAGAACGCCGGCGGAAAAAATCACTGTCTCTCTCCTTCGAGCGCATATAGGTGTCCGGCCGGGCTTTTAGGAGAGACGTCGCGTGTACGTTATATTATTTTTTGTCAGACTAGAGAGAGAGAGAGAGAGAGAGAGAGAGAGAGAGAGAGAGAGAGTACGGGCTCGCGTTGCTCCAAAAAAAAATTCATTATTCGCCGCGAAGCATGATTTGCAGGCGCGCATGAGTCCTCTCTCTCTCTCTCTCTCTCTCTCTCTCTCTCTCTCTCTCTCTCTCTCTCTCTCCTTCGTTCCCTCTCTCTTTTTTCGGAAAATGTCCCGTAGCCGCGCGCTGCACATTCGAGCGTGTAAAAGCATTGTAATAAAACGTGACGAACGTCAGGGGAGGTTTCGTGAAACCGACACTCGTCTACGATATGATTGATCGATGTCAGTTTTCCGGGCGAATCACGATACGTTATGATCCGCCAACCGTGGGGCTACCCTCGCCGATATCCGCGTATGAATATCGTGTAAAAAGCATATACACACACACACACACACACACATATACACACACACACACACGTGTACACGAGAAAATGGGGCATTAAAAAGCTCGCGCGCGCAGCGACTCCCGGGCGCGGAATGAAAAGCGTCTCGATTGTGCGGGATTAGCGATACTGAGAGGGAGAAAAAGAGACAAAGCGAGGGAGGAGAGAGAGAGAGAGAGAGAGAGAGAGAGGGAGGGAGGGGGTGACAGTGAAAGAGAAAGAAAAGACAAAGCGTGTTCCTTATCGCTATTTTTGCGCGAGCAAAGCAGCTCCGGGATGTCGCGAGCGGTTGGAACAGAAATTCCAGCAGCTTCGTATCTGACTTTTCACTTACAGGATAAAAATATCTTTATTGACTCGGCTCGTCTCGCCGAGGGGGAAACCGGAGGAAGCTCTGTGGAAATCTCCGTTATCGAAGGTAAGGACATACACGCGATATGCATTTATCACGTCTCGCGCGCGAGATAAATAGAAACACCAGCAATATCTTGAGCAAATATCGACAGTTAACGATACTCCATCACTTTGCAGCCGAATAAGTAAAAAAATTCATTCCCGCCGGCGAGGTCGGCCGGTGATCGATGTCGACGTGTTCGAAGCGCGACACGCGGGCGCGGGCCCGGTTCACCGGACGTCCGAAAAAAATCTGCCGAAGGACACGGGAATAATGCTAAAAACGGCCGGATCCGCCCGCGGCAGCTGTTGCTTCCGATTAAAAAACACGCGGCCTGTAAACAACGCGCTCGCGCTCGCCGGTCGGCGGAAAGAGAGCGACCGAGAGAGAGAGAGAGAGGAGGGCAGTTTTGCGATTACTCGGGCCACAACGTTAAGCGGTCGTCGTAATGAATACCGTGCTCATGGCGCGACAAAATAATGTTTACGACGTCCTGGCGTCGTTGTGAATAAAAAAGGAAAGGGAAGCGTAATAGCCAAAGTTCCGAAATTGCACGTCGCGAAATTTCCCCGAGAGAGTAAGAGAGGAGGGGGGGAGGCATGGGGGAAAGGAAGGGAGAGAAGCTTCTGTGTGTGAAACGGCACGTAATGCAATATGCAACGTGGCCGCTGTC